GTACATTGTGAGGGTTACAGGCATTAATATGGAGGGAGAGGAATCAGAATGCCCGAGTCATCCACAAGAGTGAGCTTACTATGACTTTGTAGAGGTTGCCACATTCCATGTAAGGATGTTCCTAGAAGGAGAAGCCAGCAGCTGAGGCCATCACACAGGTGATGTTCGACTCTGTCACTTCCACCCCCCCCAGTGATGCTCCCAGGTGCAGCTTCTATTATTGTTAATTTTCACCTTTTCCAAGAAGCCTTTTGTGATTCCTGACAGTGGAAAATTCCTCCCCCTGCTGCAGTCCCTTTTCTGTGCTGCTGCCACTCCAGGCAGGCACAGTGGTTCACACACACACACACACACACACACACACACACACACACACACCTGCAGGACTAGTGGTGGCTATATAGGATGTTATCTCTGGACTTCCTAGCTGCCCCACAGCCATGAGTTCCCCCCGGCACTGTGCTGGGAGGTTCTGACCGAGCCATCCTTCTGGCACTGTGGTCACTCTCCTGGCTGGCGCTGCTGTGGCTGGAGCCCAGCCGGAGGCCCTGCACCAGAGGCGGTTCACTAGTGGCTGTTGCCAGGTAATGCAGAGCATCAGATGTGACCTCCCACTCTGAAGGCTCATCAGAGCTTGGGGCTCCATCTCATGTTCCCTTTACTTGGGGACCCAGCCTTGCCAAACAACTACTGTCTGGGACAGAGTCATGGAGGCAAAGGGTCCTTGAGGGCTTCACATAGCAAAGCAGTGTCTCACCCGGAATGATCCATGCCGTACTGGCTCCAGCACTGTCCCTGGCTTCATTCATTCATCCCAGGGCCAGAGGTGACAGCAACAATCCTGTACCAACATCCTCTAAACCTCTTGTGGCTCCGGTTGTGTGACAGAGCCCTGACTGGTGTCACTGCATCCACGTGCCCCAAATAGAAGTCACACCTGGCTGTCCCAAGGCACATGTGTGAACTTCAATGTATGCACAGTGCACCCACATGTAACACATGCACGCACCCACATGTTCACATATGCTCACATGCACAAGCACTGAACACACAGTGCACACATGTGCCACATGCAACACACATGTGCCTACACGGCTCGCAGAGCTGAGTGTGGTACTAGGTCTCTCTCCCCTCTTGCTGGCCGTGGTGACATGGGGTCACCAGCTCATGGGGTGCTCCTGTTGGTGTCTAAACCCAACCTCAGACAGCTGCCCCTCCACCTTAAGCAAAGCGTCCCACTCTGCCAGCTTCCCCACTGCCTGCCTGGTAAAGGTGACACTGGCTGGGTGGACAAGGCTAAGAAGCCAAATGGCCCAGAGTCCTGGATAGCTTACACCGTGCCTTGGCAATAGGCAGGTGGGCAAAACTGGTGGGGGCCGATTCTGGGCGATGGTGGGCTCTGCCCTCTGGCCTCCTGTGCCTTCCTTGGTGCATTGAGACTAAGGACAAGGAGAGCCATTGGCCAGCATCCTGACTGCCATCCCCTGATCCTGTCTGCAGGGCCATGCTCAGGACCCAGGAGCAAAGAATGGGCATAACCCTCGGCCCCAGGTTGGCACATGCTTAATGCTGGGGATAGGGGAGGCCCAGGCCACCCTTCCTGAGGGACACACAACAAGCAGAACTTTCAGCCCCCACAGGGGACCAGCAGGGAGGCTGACAGGGACTGAGTGTGGCCAGGCAGGCACCAGGATTTATCTGAGATTCAAGAGGCTTGGGTCATGGGAACCCAGGTCAGGGAGGTGACAAGGGGTACAGGACTTGATGGCCATGCCAAGAAGATGGGACTTTTTGTCTATTTGTGGTACTGGAGATTGAACCCATGCGTTCACACTGAGCTACATCCCAGCCCTTTTTAATTTTTATTTTGAGTCAGGGCTTCACTAGCTTACTACGTTCCCTGGGCTGGGCTTGGACTCCCAGTCCTCTGCCTCAGCCCCCCAGTGCTGGGATGACTGGTGTGCATCGCCACGCCTGGCTGTTTTTCCTTCCAAACACGCTGTTTTTCAAAGCCTTCAATGCCAGATGACTCTCAAGGCAAGCAATGTGTTTGTAACAGGTTTGAATTCCCCTCAGCGGGGCCTGCCGCCACCCCTCCCCTGTCCTGAACCGACCACCTCCACAGCCACTGCACCCCGCAGCACCCAAGCAGTCCCCACACAGGCTTTTCCTCCTCCCTCCGTCTCCTGCAGTATCTTTTTCTGTTTTGGAAGCTGAGCTGTTCTGAGATCATCATGCTGCTGGGAAGCAGGGCTGGTCCTATTTGTTCAAAGAAATGTTTTCCTTGCACACTCAAGCATTGTGTTTATGTCATAAATCTCCAGCTAGGGTGACATCTCAGACACCTCTCTGCTGGCACCTGCCCAGCCTGGAGCTGGGTACCAGCTAAGAATCCATTGCGTGTTAACAGGGTCTCTGCCAGCGGCAGCCATAGGCTGTCCGGTGCCCAGCTTTGGGACACAGGGACACCTGACAAGGGCAGACAGCAGCTCACACTTACAGAGTACTTAGTGTGCGCTGGCTCTCTGCGGGGCACCCCGTTTTTTGCAGAGGAGATGCAGGGGCTGGGTGTAACTCAGAGACAAAGCCCTTTCCCTGGGTGCAAACGTCAGTACTGCAATAAAATAAGAAGAGGAAGCAGAGGTGTTAGTGAACACCTGTACCCCAACACTCCGCAAGGCTGAGGCAGGAGGACTGCAACTCAGAGCCCCGCCTGGGCAGCTTTGTGACTTAGTGAAGACGGTCTCAAAACTAAAAATAAAAGCCCTGGGGATGCAGCTCCATGCCAACTCCGTGCTAAGGTCTTGGGTTCAATCCCCAGTATAAAAACAAAATAAAGGGGCCAGGGATTTAGCTCAGCAGTGCAGCCTGGCAAACACAAGGTCCTGAGTTTGATTCCTGGTACCAAAAAAGAAAAGAAAATGGAAAAGACAACCCACAAATTTTCAAGTCCTGTGTCTAAAAGGATTGTCAGCCTTGAAATAAAAGCACGGATTCTCTAAGGAGGCACAATGCGTATTTGGGAGGAGGAGGCAGCACTGCAATGCGGGATGCGAGTGCCATGGAAACCACACGCGCTCGTGGGGGCCGGGGTGAAGCGGAGCCGGGAGGCCACCTGAGTTATTCTGGGCACAAGGACCAGCCCAAGGCTGTGCACACGGAGATGGCAGCGTGTGTCCTTGTGCTCTTTGGGCCGCGCAGCCCCCCACGAGCACTGCGGGTCCAGCAGCGCCTTTTGTGATGGTTCTGGTTATCAGGTGAGGGCACCTGAGAGCCTGCTTCACAGCCTCCTGGCTCATTTATTTCTTGTTTCATCTTATTTTTTATCAGAGGTAAACAAGAGACTGCATTTTGATTCTGATAATTTTCATGGGGTTTAGCTTCCACACCATGTAAATAACTTACAAGCTCTGTCATCCCAGCACTCGGGAGGCTGAGGCGGGAGGATTGCTGTTCAAGGCCAGCCTAGGTTACACAGTGAGTTTAAGAACAGCCTGAACTGCATGGCAAAACTGTGTCGAAACAACAACAACAAAACAAACAAACAAAACAAAAAAAAAAAAAAAAAAACCAGAGAGCCAGGTGCAGTGCCCCAAGCTTGGAATCCTGGGAGACCAAGGCAGGAGAATAACAAGTTGGAGCACAGCGTGGTCAACTCAGTGGGACATAAAATTTTTAAAAAGGCTGGGAATATAGCTCAGTGCCCAGGTCCTATATCGTTCAGTCCTCAGTTCCAAAAAAGAAGAAACTGAAGTGGGGATGTCAGTGCAGGCCTGTAACCCTGTGACCAGGGGAGAGACCCAACACTCCACACTCTCCAGACTGCTCAGTCTACGGCAGCCCTGAGCCCTGGGTATGGCCTGGGTGCGGCTGTGCCATGGCCACTCGGGGCGATGTCTGTCCCAGGCAACCCTGGCCCCACACCCCCTCAGTCAGGTCCTCCCAGGCTCACCCCGCTGCGACCACGGTGCGACGGTCAGCCTGGGTCCCTCCCGCTGGGACAGGAGTCCTCATGAAGCCTCTGCCACCTGCCACGCTCCCGCCCCATTCCCACTCCTATCTAAGCAGCGCACCCAGCTGCTCACACCAGGGCCATAGCACACGTGCATGGATGGGACGAGGCCCTGAGACCTGCAGGGAGTGGCAACCAGAGCTACAAGCACTGAGTGACAGCTGCTGGGGACCAGAGCCCAGGGCCTTCCACACGGAGGCCTGTGCTGTGCCCATTTGTGGTTCCTACACCAGTTAGCAAGATGCCCCCCACCCCACACGCTGTTACCATTCTGGGACGGTCCCCTCAGCTGGGACCTTCATCAGCAGGGTCAACAAGCAGCCCACGAACTATTTCCATCCTGCATGTGGATGAGAATCCAGCTACCCAGTGTTAATCCCAGATGCTCGGGAAGCTGAGGGAGGAAGATGGCAATTCTCTTTTTTTTTTCCTTTTTCTTTTTCTTTTTTATCGGTACCAGGGATCGAACTCATGACCACACACTTGCAAGGCAGGCGCTTATGCTGCTGAGCTAAATCCCCGGCCCCGCAACTCTGTCATAAAAGTGTAAAAAGGCATGGCGAGGCAGAATGCCCAACTCTTAGTTTAATCCCGTGTCACAAAAAATAGGAAGAAAAATAACAAGAGATGGCAAGGATATGAAGAAATATAAATCCTCTGCTGTCACTGTGGGGATGTCAAATGGTGTCACTGTGTGGCAAACAGGCTGCCTACCCTTAGCCGGCCACACCAGCAGCCTTGTGTCCTACTGGCCAGTCCTGCCCTGATGCAGACTCTCCCTCCCTGGTGTCCCCAGCCCAGCAGGCTGGCCCCACTATACCCCGATTCCCCTGTGTAGATGCCAGGGCTCCATCCAAGCATCTGTTTGGGCCCTGGCCCCCAAGCTCAGTGCCTGACCCCCACCGAGGAAGTGAATGGAGCCAACCACCTGGCCCAGGAGGGATGGCAGGTGGATAGTGTCGCCACGGGAAGGACCACAGTCATCAGCTTTCTTAATGAATCCACTTTATTTGAAACTTCCCACATGCCACAAATTCACATGAAATCACCCACCCAGGATGAAGTGTTAGGAGTGGGTGTCACCATGAGATGCCCCACTGGGCAGGGAAGGGATGGTTGGTCACCAAAAGGCAGGGGGTGGTCATTTAGCACCTGGTCACATGGATGGGAGAGGCCTGGGGCAGGGAAAGGCTTTAGCTCCACCCACCAAAAAGCCCCACTGAGCCCCACTGTTCCGGGCAAAGCCACACATGAAAGTTACGATCAGAGGACAGCATGGGTTGGGGGAGACGCTGCGGCCAGCTGCAGGCTGCCTGCACAGGCGGCATGGGCACATACACACTCGTTCACACAGCACACCCTGGGAAGCCAGCGCACGCCCTACTGCACACCTCCCTTGGACACACATTCCCTGCGTGCCTGGCTCCCGATGCTTCACATGAACAGGGGGATCAGGCTGTCCCCTGGGCCCCCAGGTCTCAAGCAGGTCCTGCGAGGGACACAGCCAGGCAGTGACCCCGTGCCATTAGTGCAAGACCCAGCACCTGAATGTGGTGTCTGTGCAAGGCCCTGCATGCCCTGTAAAGTCATGGCAGGGATGACATTGGTCACTTGTTTAGGACCCACAGCTCGGAACATTGGTTTACTGTACCCAGTAGGCCCCAGAAGCTTCCTTTGGAATCCTGAACCCCAAATGTATAAGGGACCAGTCACAATGAGCCTTAGTGCTGTGGCTGAGGCCACTGGGAAGGGCAGGCAGCGATGGTCCTGTCACCTTTCCAGAAGGCACTCCCCTGCCCCGGGTCTCATGGCTGGATCCCACGCTGCTGTTACACCCACCCCCAACCCATTTCCCTTTATAGGAGCTCTGTAATCTCTAGACCATAAAAGGGGCTGATCGCTGGAGACAAGGGAAGTGGGGAACAGCCATACTCAGAGGGGAACTAGGGTGGCCCTGCTGTCCTCCCTGGAAAATATCCTGCAGGGGCCCAGTCTTGAGCCCTTGCACCCCTGGCTCCCACAGCCCTGCTGCCCTGGGTCCAGGCCTGCTGGCCATGTGGGCCTCTGCTCTGTGCACCGCATCCTGGTCAGAGAGTGGCTGAGACGCTGGCTGCTGCTGAGGGACAGGAGCTCAGCAAGGTCTAGCGCCCAAGAGTCTGAGCCATGCTGGCTACAGCCCCTACCTGGCCTTCAGGCCTGTCCCGAGTATGACAGCATGATGAGAATGAGGTCAGCCACGCCACACAGAACAGGGGACCTGGGGCTCAGAAACACACCTTTCATCTGCTTTCCTCAAACGCCTTCACTTCGCAAGGCCAGAGGCCCAGTGTGGCTTGAGGAGGAGGTTACAGGGACTCGGGACACAGGGCTATGGGGTCTGAGGGCCCAGGATGGAAGGACACTGTATCTGCTCCTGGGACAAGGGGTGGAGGTGGCCACGGCAGATTAGGGGATTTCTCTTTATAAGAACAAAGGACAAACCTGCTGATCTCCTCCCTCCTCCCACCCATCTCTTACACACTCAGCAGATGCAGACTTAATGTGCTGCAGACGTGCACATACAGACCATGTGCACAAACATGCAAGTGCAGATGCAAATGCACACACACAAGCATTCACACTCATGCTGGCCTGTACACGTGTACTTGCAAACACAGATGGGCACACATATCCCTGCACAGAGCCACACACATGTGCATGCACACATACACAGAGACACACACATCCCAGCACACAACCACACATGCACACACACGCATGCACACCCAGGCTACAGCACACAAGCTGACCGCACGCCTTCCAGCAGGCAGCATATGGTCCGCCACTTAAGAGCCCAGTCCTGCCAACTGGGGACCATTAGGGTGGGTTCTTTTCCCAGCGTAAAATGCTGCAGAATATAAATCGCAATTAACACCAGTGCCAAAATAGCACTTAGCAAAAATAAGCACGTTATTAACATCTGCTGAATTGTGTAGAAGGAGTGGAAATTCTCGCTCTAAGTCAAAAGACTATTGCAGGGGACAGTAAAAATACTAGGTCTACTGTTTGGGGGGCCTTCCAATGTGTCTGTGCGCCCAGCCTCTTGTGCATGGTTCCCTCCCCCAGCCCTGTTTATGAGCACAAATTACACTGCTGGGTAAAACCGCTTGCTCAGGACAACAGGCTTGTGAGCCACATCACAAAAACAGGTCAGCCTTTGGAGTAAATTCTTCACGGGAAGACAATTCCCTGCCCAAGCGGGGGCTGCTGGGAAGGGAAGGAGAGGGCACAAAGCCAGGGCACCCAGAGCCCCAGGGCCTCCCTTCTCATCACATGGTGGCCAATTCAGGTGCCAATTTAAAGCTCTAAAGAAACAGGGACAGAGTTCCGGTCACTCGCTGGGGCCTGGTCCATAGCTATGTGGGACACTGGCCCCCGCTGGCCTGGCCTGCACTGTGGGGAGGGTGGGACCAGTCTGTGGCTCTGGATGCCATGTCACACACATCTCCAGGGATCAGCTGCAGCAGGTTCCTCTGTTGGCTGGCTGCAGCCTGGGGACCCCTCCCAACAGAGCAGGGCTGGACACAGGGAAGAGAAAGAGACCAGACATACAACTTAATGGGGCCAGGATCAAGGCAGGCAGAGGGCTGTGTCCCCTTGCCCTGGCCCTAGGCCCATCTGAAAGCCTCCCTGACTCCCTAGGCCCCAAGGGGCAGTGCTGATGGGCACTGCTTGCCCCGAGTGCCCAGTATAGAGCGGTACCAACATCAGCAAAGCGATGTGCCAGACACCATATAGACAGGGGGACCTGTTACCATGGAAACATAGAAGAGGGCAGTGGGCAAGGCCTGGTGGCCTCTACACTCCTCACCCCCTGGGAGGCTGGGAAGCGCCCAGGTTGGCAATGCCCATGGCCTGTGAAGACCCATGACCAAGAGGCACCGGGGCGGGAGTCCAGGATGACAGGACCCAGCCACAGCCTCCTCAGAGGGGTCAAGTCTTGCGAGTATGAGGCAGAGACAGCCTTGGGGCACAGCGTGACCTTGGATGGAGCAGGTCCGTCCTCGGCCTTGGAACAGCTTTGCTGAGTTTTCCCTAAATCTTAACTGAAGTTCCCTGAATGGCTGCCTGACCACGTCCAAGGCTTAAACACTGTTCTGGGTTTAACGTTTCTAGGTACTCTAACAAAAAGCCAAATGCGTATCTGTCTCTCAGAGGCACACAGTGGCCTTTATGGCACCTGGGCTTTCTGAAGCCAAACAATGCCACAGATCGTGTATGGACCAGGTGGCCCGGGGAGAAAACAGGCCCAGCCCCCAGGGCCTGCCCGGCGGCCCCTGCTCTAGGCTCCCTGCTGGGCCACAAACATCATCCAGCTGGAAACATCTCAGAGACATAATTGGGTTAAAATGTGTCCTTTTTTTTGGTGGCTCTAGGCTAGATCCACATGCCTCGCACCTGCTGGTCAAGTGCTCCAACACTGAGCCACACCCCAGCCTGATACCTCTCAGGGGGACAGGGCGCCCCACTTCTGCAGGTGCAAAACTTTCAGACATCAGCGTGGACGTCTCGGCAGAGAGAGCCGCCTCATCCCAGCCCACGGAGCCCAACGCCCGCTGACCACAGCACAGCAGAGGGGCACTCCTCGGCCAGAGGAGACATGGCTGGGGGAAGACGGTATCCACAGTCCACCTAGCTTGACCGCTGCCCCCACAGTGATACCCCACCCCACTCTCCCTGTCATCCGGAGTGCACACCCTCACCCCAGATTCCAGTGACGACAAGTCCTTGGGAAGGAAAGTGAGACGAGAGACGGGCGCCAGGCTGCGGCTGCGGGGCGGCGGAGAGATTCTCCCTCTGTCTGTGACAAACCGAAGGGTCCACGGCTGCAGGCTCTGTGAGAGTGGCAGCGGCAGTGAGCAGCAGAGGAAGGTAGCCCTCTCACCACCACAGGTTTGGGGGCTCCTCGGCCACTCTGCTTTTAAACAAGGTGATCTCATCCAGGTGCACCATGGGGACGTCCCGGATGACGTCTGTCAGGCCCTCATGGAGCAGGGGAAAGATGACAACATTCAGGGCGGGCCTCTCAGCCTGGAAACTGAAGCAGAGACCAGTGGTCAATGGGGCGTGGTGCAGGCCTCCAGGGACATGAGGCACCGTGCCCACCTCCCCACGAGCCCAGCCTGAGATCCCACATGAGTCACCTTGACACATGGCGGATACAGAAATCAATCTTAACGGCCCTTTGTGTAGCAGCCAGAGTTGGGGCCCGGGGATGGGGGCAGTAGGGAGGGTTAGCAGGGTAAAGCTGTCACCCTTCTGCCTGGGCACAGTGAGCCATGGCATGGGGGCTGGCAGAAGGGACCCTGAATCCCAGATCTGGGGGCTCCCCAAGGTGGCAGAGCCAAGATCCCAAACCTTTAGGCCACCTAGATGGGCGGAGGACGCCATGAGAAGCCACAATATAGACACTGAGACCTGCCAAGGACGAAGGCAGCAGACGCTCCGACTGGGCCGTCAGCAGCCGGTGCTGCAGACTGCACGCTCGCTTGGCTGGGTCTCCAGGAGGACAGGAGCGATCAGAGGCCAAGGTCAGGGGAGGCCAACACCCCAGGCCGTGTGGCAGGAGCAGGGAGCATAGGAAAGTTGCCTTCATCTCACCCTCAGGAAGGCCTGAAACCTCTGGGGCTACCAGGGCCTCAGAGACGTGTCCCTAGACTCTAAATCCAAACCAACATGGGGCCACATAGGGGGACCATGCAGAAGAAAGCAAGTCCAAAGCCTAGCAGGCCGTGTGCTACACAAAAGCAGGAAAGGCCAGGTACTTGGCACACATCTGTCATCCCAGCACCTGGGAGACTGAGGCAGGAGAATTGCAAGTTTGAGCCCAGCCTGGGCAACTTGGAGACTTGGCAAGATCTTGTTTCAAAACTATAAAAATATAAAAGGGCTGAAGATGTGGGTCAGTACCAAGGCTCTAGGTCAATCCCAGGCACTACCCAAAACAACAGCAGGACAGGCCCCGGGGTTCAGTCTCAAATCTGGAAGAGCACAGTCAAGGCAGGGTCCTGAACACGGAGAACAAATGTGATTCGAGCCGGGGTATGCGCAGGACACACAAAAGCCCTCCTGGGCCACAGCCACCCCAGGCCACTGAGGCAAGCTAGTCCCCGCAGCCAGAGACCTAGGTAGCTCGCACCTCCGCGGAGTCAGCACCAAAACCACAGGGGACAAGAAGGGATGCCAAAGGTGGAGACGGCAGGAAGGGGGGACCTGGGGAACAGCAGCGCTCCAGTGGGGCCACCGGGCCTGCTGCCGAGTCACAGAGAAAGTGACGATCCCACCTCACACAGGTGAACGGAGGAGCTCCCGTGCCCTCCAGACAGCAACAGGTTAAGACAAGCAAAGCTCCAGGAAAAAACACCCCCAACTGCGGCCTCTTCGACGGTGGGCACCGCAAGCTGAGCGCCACAGCGCCATCTACTGGGACCCTGCGAATAAACTGCTGGCACAGGGGCAGCGCGGGATGCCCCGATGATGCCGGCATCTGACTGGTCTGCAGGTCCAGCCCGCGGAACGAGCCTGTGGAAGAGCTACTGCAGCCGGTGGTGGGCCAGGACCCAGGGCAAGCACGAGCAGAGGTGACCGCTGCAGGGTCTCTCCCATCCCCTGGGGCCACGCTGGCTGCTGTGGCTGAAGGAAAAAGGCCTGGACCAGAGCAGGGTCTCCCCTACTTTTGTTTGTTTGTGTGCCTGTGTTGTTTTTTGAGGTGCTAGCGCTTGAAACCCAGGGTCTAACACAGGCCGGACCTCTACCTTGGAGCTGCATCTCGGGGTGGAGGGGCTCTCTTTCGATGGGAACCCCCATCCTTTACAGTGGCCTCTGGCCCTGTCATAGCCTGCATGCTTCTTAGGGCCTCAGTGTCCCCTTGGTGATGTGCTGAGGACTCTCCTCCGGGAGGATTCTCCTCTGGGAGGTGTGGGGACACACGGCCAGCTGCAGCACTGAGCAGCCCACATGGCTCATGCCCTGGAGCACACCAAGGATCACCTTGGGAACTGGACAGGACAGGTGCTGCAGTCCTGAGCCCTCTTGGGGAGCAGCAAGTCACAGAATTCTGGGCACTGGGCCAGGTATGGGACAGGGACAGAACTGGAGAGTAAAGGAACAAGCGGGCAGCTCAGCTTCACCTGGGAGTCCACCTGGCCTCTCCAGTCTTGGGTCTGGCAATGACTTCCCATACTGACTGTACTCAATACCTACCCGGCCCCCAGTGAGCCCAGTATCTGAAGGGAGGCACAATGAACTTAACCCTTGGAGGGCGTGTTGCGTTCCTCTCCTCGAGAGGGCCAGGGGTTGCACACTCTGGGCAGCCAGCGTGGGGGGCGCATGTCTGAGGGGCGAGGCTCGTGCCAAGCCCAATCAGCCGGCCTAAGCTTCTCCACCCTGTGGAGAAGGCCTGAGAATCGGAAGGAAATCAGCTTCCCTGGCTGGGACATTCAGACACTTGTGACCGAACTGGCTGTCCCTTGGTCCACACAGAGGGAAGGACAGCCAGCAGGGGAACTGTCCCACCTGGCTGACACCTCCCTTGACCAGCTGTTGGGGGTCCCATGACCCAGCCAGCAAAATGCCACGGAGCCTCCAAGTGCCCCTCCACAGGGGTCAGCACTGTCTCCCAACACCAGGAATCCAGGGGTGCAGTGGTGTGGGAGAGGCTGAGCTGAACACCCTTCCCCATGCCTGGACCTCCAGTTCCAGAGCTGGAAAGTCAAAATCTAAGGCACAAGAAGGCCAGTGACAGAAACAGTTATCCCTGACAGCGGAAAAACAGAACCAGCTATGACACCCACAAAACCAGCACCAAATAGACATTAAACAGTCACTGGATGCCAGTGTGGTGGCTCACACCTATAATCCTATAATTTGGGAGGCTAAGGCAGGAGGATTGTTGTGAGTTCAAGGCCAACTTGGGCTACAAAGTGAGTTCAAGGCCAGCCTGAACTGCATATCCAGACTTTGTCTCAAAAAAGGCAAAAAAAAAAAAAAAGAGAGAGAGAGAGAAAGAGAGAGAGAGAGAGAGAGAGAAAAGAGAAAATTGAAAAGAACAGAAAAAGAGGGGCTGGGGTTTTAGCTCAGTGGCATAAGCGCCTGCCTTGTAAGCAGGCAGTCATGAGTTCGATGCTGGTACCGATAAAAAGGAAAAAGACAAAAAAAAAAAAAAAAAAAAAGAACAGAAAAAGAAAACAGTCACTGGAGGCCAGGCATGGTGATGTGTGCCTGTAATCCAGACTGGTCAGAAGCTGAAGCAAGACTGTCCCTTAAGCCCAGGAATTGCTGGGTATGCTTGGCCATACTGTGACCCTAGAATGCACAAGGCTCTAGGTTCCATCAAGAAAGCAAGGGACAGAATGACTTCACAGCAGAGAAACTGGGCAGATGCCACTGGAACCAGGCCATCAAGGAACACACTGCCCGGGACAGAACACGCCACACTGAGAAGCCCACACGTCTCCCATGGGTTTCTCTGCCAAAAATGTAGAATCACAATTGCAAAAAGGACCAAGACAAACCCAGCCTGAGGGGTGCGTTGCCAAGCAACCAGCCAAGGCCTCAGCATCAAGGCTGGGAAAGACCAGGAGACCGAGCCGCAGCCAGGGCCAGACTAGACCGGACGTGGGAGACAGAGCACCAGCACCGAGAGGAGCTGGGCCCAGCTCGGCAGCCGATCCCAGAATGCAGCGTGGATGCCACAGGACACTGGCCAGGTTCTAACTCACTCTTTCAGCCACCACGCTGCTAAAGCCTTGTATTTGTTTTCTAGTACTGGGGCTTGGACCCACAGCCTCTGCACTGAGGTGCCTCCAGCCTTCTTACGTTTTTAAGTTGAGACAGGCTCTTCATAAATTGCTAAACTGCCTAAGCATAGCTTGACCCTTGGGTCCTCCTGCCTCAGCCTCCCAAAATGCTGGGATTATAGGCAGTGGACTTCACACGTGGCTTAAGGTCTGTTTATTCTCACCCCACCAGTGTTCTGTTTTTTCTTTTTGTTTTGGTACTGGGAATCAAACCAGTGTCTCTGCTTTAATCACTGTGCCCCACGTAACCGTAGTGCCCTGTTAGGATTAATGGTATCTGGTAGCTGTAAAGTGTTTTTCCCCAACTTCCTAAAATTAGCTTAAAGTAGAAGTTGGAGGGAGGAGAACTCAGGGGTGTGTATTTTATACACCAGGGAAATATTTATAGCATCATGTGGGTAAATGCCTAACTCTGGTGGCTGGTGGTGGGTGTTGTGGCATCTAGGAAACCAGCAGCCAGGAGAACACGGAGGTGGGACAGCAGGGAGGAGCCAGACCTCTGCTCCCCAGAATCCCAGTCGATGCAGGCAGCCGGCGCACCCCACTGGGCAGCCATGCCTGCCCACCACTCACCTTCGGAGAAGGGACTGCTGCAGGCTCTTGCAGGTGGTGAGTGACTCGCCGGTGAACATGTGGCACACGACGAGGTGCAGGCAGCGGGCCATGAAGGCCAGTACGGCATCGGGCTGCAGGGTGCCACTGCGGGAGACCAGGCACAGGCGCTGCAGCGAGGCGCACTGGCTCAGCGCCTGGAAGAACTGGGCGTTGGCATTGAAGTAGGGCTGCTCCAGCCTGTGGGCAGAGGGGCATGTGAGAGCGACGGGGACCCTAGTTCCCAGCTTTCTCCTCTTTGTGACCCCAGGGAGATCTGGGCCCCAGGGGGCCTGAGGCTTTGGCACACCGAGTCCCCCACCACCCCATCCTGCTCTCTGGCATGCTGGAGAGGAAGCAGACAGGATTCACCCGCATCCCCGCCCCCTGGAGCTCGCCCCTTGGAAAGGCAAAGGAAGGAGCTGGGTAGAGGGTAGGAACCCAGAGGGCAGGGCAGAGGCCAGAGCTGGGTAGGGGCCACTCCAGCCATGACAGAGGGTGGACAGCATTTGGAGGGCCAAGCCAAAAAACCAAGATTTGACTCCAGAGGGCTGCAGGAGCCTGCCCAGCCACAATTGTTTTCAGAAAGTTGGGTGGGACCTTGACAGGGCAGGGCCGGCATGGGGCAGAGAGGAGGAAACAGGAGTCTGCTTGTCACAGCCAGGATCTCCCTGAACTGCCCCCGCTGAACTCAATCCCGTGATCCTCTTGCCCCAGCCTCCCAGAGCACTGGGGTAACAGGTGTGTGCCACTGCACCCTGCTACCTTTTCCCACTTTAAAAGCTTGTGGTCACAGCTGCAGGAGGCACTGCTACCGTGCCGGAGCAGCATCAAGGCTGACAGCAGAGTGGAGGCTGTGCTAACAGGCAGGGACATCTGTCTGAAGCGGGCAGGAGGCAGAGGGACTGGGCGGGCAGGCACAAGGGTGCCACGAGCTGGTGAACATGGAAGGGCATCTGTGCGTCTCTGTGGACTAGGGCTGGGCCCAGTACCACGCCAGCCTACCCAGATGGTTGAGGAAGAAGTGCAGAAGAACAAAAGGCTTTCTTTCCTGAGCAGGCTTCACCTCTACTCCTGCAGTTACCTGTGTCTGGCCAGAGGGATGGGACACGTGACAATGTTCTTACTGGACAGGGTGGCCGCCACCACCACCCAACTCCATGCATGGCACAGCAAAGGTTAGTTCCCTGCAAAAACCACACCCAGCTGCAGTGGCGCAGCCCATGGTTGCCAGCTTTGTCCATGAGGGGACTCAGGGAATGCAGACTGGACCATGCTGGTGACCTTGTGGGATGTCCTCGGGAGAGGAGCTTCCAGGACCAGCAGGATAGGCCATGCCCTCCATGGCAGCAGGGCCATCTCTCAGCCCTGTACTGAGTTGCACGGAACAGTGACACTGTGCTGTGCTGACAAGGTGGGCATCCTGTGCCCCAGGACACAAAGCCAGACAAGGGTCCAGAATCATGGGCCACAGCCCCAAGGTCCCTGTCACCCAGGAAACCAATGAGCATGAGACTGAGGTGACAGAGGGTACCTGCAAAAACACAGGCTGGACCCCCACAGAGGCTGAGCCCTCTGCTGCCCTCGCCTGTGGGAAGCCTGGGCTCCCTTCAGCACCACAGAGACAGAACAGAGCTGGCCCAGTCAGAACAGGGCACCCCAGACTGGGACACTCCTGGGGTTACCAAGGAGGGAGGGGACAGCAAGGGTCCCTTGTGGCCTCTCAACAGCTGACTACAGTTAATGCAGACTGGCCTCCTCCTATTTTATCTTTATTTGTAGTCCTGGTGGCTTTGCTCTGGGCTCTATCTCCAGTCACTTTATATTTAATTATGAACCAGGGTTCATAAGTTGCCTAGGCTGGGCTCATTTGTGACCTGCCTGTCTCAGCCTCCCAGAGGACTGGCATTACAACCATGCGCCACCACACCCAGCTAGAGACTGGTTTTTATTTTAACTGATGTATTCCGACCTCCTACGGGCTCTTCAATGTGGGGGAGTACAGGTCCTCCCAGGGAAAGAGCTAGAAAAGCCATAGCACCCCCTGCCCACTTTGGCACTGGGGTGGCCGAAGGCAGCCACTGGGGGCTGCTCCTAGTCCTGTGCATGGAGATAAGCCTCACCTCACAGGCACACGTGACAAATGTTACCCTTAAAGACACAGGAGGAACCTCGATAGTCAGCAGCAGGGCAGACGCTCTCTAGGCTGCTAAGGTGGCAATGTGGCTCTGTCCCCCTCTCCAAGGACACAACAGCCTGCTGCATCAATAAAGCCCAGGCAGCTAAGAAGTGGTACTCCACCTCCAGGTTTGAATTTCTGGGGGGAGGAGTCTGGTTTTATTGAGACAAGATCTCATCATGTAGCTCAGGCTGGCCTCAAACTGGAGACCCTCTTCCTCTGCCTCTGGAGTCTTTTTTTTTTTTTTTTTTGGATTTTTGTAAATATTGGGTATTGAACCCAGGCCTTTGCATACTGGATCTCACTAAATCAGTGAACTGCCAAGTCTAGATTTAAATACACCATCTACTGGGTGTGGTGGTGGAGCCCTATAATCCCAGAACTCAGGAGGCTGAGGCAGAAAGATCATGAATTTGAGGCCAGCCTGTACTACATCAGTGAATTGAAGAATAGCTTGAACTACATAGTGAGACCCTGTCTCAAAAAACAAAACATAACAAATCCAACAAACAAAAAACCAAACCAAAAAAAAAGCCATCTTCTGCCTCAGCCTCCCAAAGTACTGAGATTATAGGCATATACCTATATACCGTGCTACCTTGGATATCATTCTGAACTGATTTCAAAATATTTAAACACAGTTTCGTTCCTTTATTTGGAGGGTGTGTGTGCACAGGTGTGTGAGGTCCAAGGCCCGGGAATGTCTGGGCCCTGCAGCCCTGCACACACTCCAACTGGGGTAGCAGGAGGGCTGCCAGCCACAGTCACCCAGCACTCTTCCCTCCCACACTGCAGGGATGAAATGGCCAGGCCGCTCCTGTGGCCTTCGGCACTAGGTGGCGACGTGGATCTGCACTACTGGCCCCAGATCTCCCAGGCCAACTGAGTCACAAAGCCCAATGCATACTTCCAGACCTCGCAGCACCCCCAGCCTCCTTCCCCGAAAGATGTCCTTGGCACAGTGTCCAGGAAGGGGACCTTGTGGGAGTGTCCTGTCCCTCCCCTCTTGACCCACCAGCCTGCTGTGCCATGGGCAAGGCTGCCACCAATGACTGGTGTCTGCAGGAAAAGGAACCCACCTCTGACCTGACAGGCACCCTAGGGGTCCCCAGCCCTGCTCCTTCCCAGCTAGGACGAGGCTCCAGATCTGGCTCCCCACATCAGCCTGGGTGCTTGGATCCTGGCAGCACAGCAAGCAGTGCCCAGCCCCTGTGCTCCTGGGGTGGTGCCAGGCTTGGCTCTTGCAGCTCCTGCTTCCGCCCTGGCGCTGCCTTGGTGCTGTCCTGGCTCTGAGGTCAGGCAGCCAGGGTGAGGCTCTCTCCTCCTCCAGCGCGGCTAGGGCAGGATCACTCAGTTGTGGAAAGGTGCCCTTTCCTGCCCTGAGTTGCGTCTGTCTGTAGCAGGAACAACCTGTTCCTACAACAGCTCACCCACCAGGAGCCCAGGCTGGCAGACAGAGTCACAATGCTGGAGACAGGTGGCAGGAGCAGGGAGGTCAGCTGCGGTCTTGAGGATGCCACCTCGGGAACATTCCTTAGGGAGGCAGGCCTGGGAGTCCCCCTGGCCTAGGACATGGTCCCTCTGTGTGGCTCCCGCCCTCGGAGAGCAGACACATTGCTGCAGGACACAGGGACCCAGAGGGAAGGGGCCACACATAGGCAGGGCCCAGCTCAGAGCACACACTGTGGCTCTGTGGCTCTAGGAGAGGCCGGCGTTTACACATCGCAATGCCGGTACATGCCACAGTCAGGTCCGCTCCCCAAAAGTCGGCCTGTGACAAGCACCTGCAGCTGTCCCTGGGCAGACATCTGGCCCCATCAGCCGCTGCTCCTGCCTGAGAGCCGCCCCTCCCTGTGACAGTGCCTGCTCCGGGTCTCCCATTGCTTCTTCATCCTCTTCCTGACCAGTTCCTGCCCCCACGACTACCCCTAGAGCCCGCTCTGTGAGGCCTGTGAAGGCCCTGTTCTACTGTCCCTGGCTTCTGTCTTTGCCCAGCACTCCCTGATAATCACCAGACACTCTGGCCACGGTCCAGCCAGAAAAAGCACACAGGCTAATGGGTCAGCGGAAAGCATAAAATGGCCAGCAGAGACCCAGAAAGACCTCAGCTGACTCACACACTTGTTCACACACTCACTGGGCTCCTAGACTTAGGAAACTTTCGGTTCCTAGTGGAAAGACTCACAGACTGACAGGAGAGCCACCCAGGGTGTGCAGACCCAGTGACAGGCAAATAGCCTTCTCCCTCGTATGCCCTGACCACACACTCACCACCACTCTTGCAGGAAAGGCCAGCACGCACGAACAGGCATGGCGAGACCCAAGTAGGGGGACACAGAGCACCTAGACGTCCACACCTGTCATGTTGGCACTCTGGGAGGCTAAGGCAGGAGGACTGCAAATTCAAACCGAGGCCCAGAGTATAGACAACCTGCCTGTGTCCGCTCACAGCCAGGTTTCAGCCACAGGCCTTGGGGTATGGATCAAGGCCAGGCCACGTGGACCATTTGGAAGCCTGCTGACCCTGGCCTATCATTCAGCACCAGCAGCGATCCAGGGGGCTTCAGTGTAGCCATTGGGAGGTCATGGGGCAGGGCGCTCAGCCCAGTCAGGAAGGTACAAGGTTGCATCGGAAACACCAGCGCTTAGCTTGATCCGGTTCACTTCCTGCCAGGTTGAGGCCAGGAGGGAATGACTGAGTCTGACAGAGGATAGGTCCTCTCTGCTGTATGTGCAGGGCTTGGGGGCCAAACTCAAGCTGATGGTGACAGTGAGACCTTGGCTCTGTCTGCTCTGAGTGCCAAACCTCAGCCATGCAATGGACTGCAGAGGACGCCATCCTCCAGGGACTGTGGAGGGGACTATGGCTCAGTGTCGGGCCCAGAGGGAAGGCACAGAGTCAGCACGGCATGATCTGGGGACACGACAGATATCCTCATAGACCCGGAGCAGCACAAGACTTCCTGGCCCCCACGATGCCAGCACCCGCTCATCCCACAGCTAAGGACTCACGGAGTGGCTGCTCCTGCTCCTGCCTGCAGGGCGCTGCCCGGCGTATGGGGCTGGGCTCCGCTGCCTGCACTGCATCTTTTGCATTTGATGAATTTCTGAATTTTTACCCTTTAAATGCTGGGATGTGATGGGAACCCACTTCCTTCCAAGCACAATTCAGCATGGGTCTGTCCCATAAGTGGCTTTGGAAATGCCAGGGGCCCAGTGACAATGACTGGCCTGTGGCTCCCCTTCCTTCCACTTTCCTGCCACCAACTCCAGGCCACTGCTCCTCGGAGTCTGCATCCACCCAACCTTCTTTTATGTGTGATACTAGGGACTGACCCCAGGGCCTTTGCACTGAGCTATACATCCAGTCCTTTTTGAATTTTGAAACAGGAGCTCACTAAGTCACTATGTTGCCATCTTCCTGCCTAAGCCTCCCACAGTCTTGAGATTACAGGCGTGTGCCACCATGCCCAGCTTGAGACCCCCTTCTGAGCCAAGCTCTGGCCCACACACAGTAGACATGGGATGACAGCAGGTCTCTACAAAAGTCCTTTGGCAGCTCACCTGCCTGTCCCTCTTGCCTCACTTTCCCCACCCCTTCTACCTCCCTACAACACCCTGACCTAAGTGGCTTTGGCAAATGTTCAACCTCTAGGGCTCCTGCACATGCTGCAAAGCACCTAGAAGCCTCGGCTCTGTAGCCCCTGGCTAACTCCTACACATACCCCATGAATCCCATGGTTGGGCCAGAGCACCCTGGGTTGAACGGGATATGGCTCAGCACTCTGGGAGGCTGAAGCAGAAGGATAGCAAGTCTGAGTCCAGCCTGGGCAATTCAGTGACTCAGCAAGACCCTACCCCAAGCTTTTATCTATCTATCTATTTATGTATCTATCTATCTATCTATCTTTCTTGCTTGCTTTCTTTCTTTTTGGTTTTCTGAGACAGGGTCCTGCTATATAGCCCAGGCTGGCCTCAAAGGCTGGTGATCCTCCTGCCTCAGCCTCCTGATTGCTGGGATTACAGGTATGCACCTCAATACCTGCAAAATTTTGAAAACCATTAAAAAGGGTTGGGAATGTAGCTCAGTGTGAAGAGTTCAATTCTTAGTACCACAACGCATACACAAAATCAAGCCCCTCGCAGGGCAGTTAAGAAGTCGGGCACAGTGTACACAACACCAAGCAGAACAGTTGCTGAGGGAGCTACAACGGTTGATTGCAATGTTTTACCCCAGGATGCCCCTGCACCCCAGCCCCACTGCACTGAGCTCCCGAGGCCTCCCTGGTTCCTCGCTGTGCACACAGAGTCCCATGCCCATGACAGGCCTGAGCCGGCCCCTGAGCTCCACCCCGTGGCCCCGCAGGCCTCCACAGCCTCACCTGAGGTCCTTCAGCCGCCTGCAGTGCTTCAGCATGTCAGACAGGGCGGGCATGTAGACCACCTTCCCCATCATGCCCAGGTTGGCCAAGGACAGGGACTGCAGCTGCTGGCACTGCAGGCCGATGCTGAGCAGCCCTGAGCCAGTCAGGATGCCGGGTAGCTGGGCCAGTGTCAGGTGCTGCAGGAAGGCCAACTGGCCGATGGCAGCCACCTCCGAATCCCCAACATTCTGTGCACGGCTGCAGGGCGGGAGGGAGTTGCGGATAGCGGGCTCGTTGCGTGGCATAGCTGAGGAGAAATTGGAGCCAATCAGCTCGAGGTGCTCCAGGAAGGGCAGGTTCTTCAGCAGGGACCAAAATGCAGAAGAGGGCTGGTGGCCCGCAAAGGGGCCAGAGCAGGTCTGCACACCTATGCGCACCTTCTTGCCAAAGCCCCGCGGCACCGCGTGCATGGCAGGCTGGGCTGGCGCACGGTCAGCCCGAGGTGCAGAGTCAGCAACAGAACAGACAGGCAGGGACAGCGAGCGCAGGTGGCGGAGACGGGCCAGGAGGTGGCACAGATGCCTGCCCAGGCCCTCGGAGCTGTGGTGGTGCGCGGCTGACAGGTTGAGGTGGCGCAGGTTGCAGCAGGAGGCCACCAGCGTCTCCAGGATGCTGCTGTCGATGTCGTCCTCAGCCTTGTGGAGTAGGGAGTCTGGCAAGAGGCAGTGCACGCAGCCGCTGAGGTTCAGGCTGGCCAGGCTCCGCAGGTCCTTCCCACCATTGATGACGCGCTGGATCAGGTGGCCGCCGGACAGCGTGCAGCGGCTGAAGCTGAAGTAGAAAGGGTTGTTGAACTTCATGTGCTGCAGCAAGGATGAGCCGTTCAGCCAGGACTTGGGCAGCTGCAGGGCATCCAGGGCCACGTTGCGGGCCATGGACTCCAGGAGGTTCTTGGTGGCCCCACTCTCAGCAAAGCTGCCGGGGACGGAGATGAGGAAGGCGTGCAGATTCTCGGGTGTGCGGTCACTGAGCACAGCCAGGTACAGCCGCACCACCTCCTGGTTGATGTAGCCAGGGGCCAGGCGCGCGTAGAAGATGCGCAGGTTCTGGTAGTGGGGCACGTTGCTCTGGCCCACCATGAGCTGGCCCGAGAGCACGGCGCCCTCCCGTGTGCGGTCCAGGATCTCGAAGTACAGCAGCAGCTTCTGCAAGCTGGCACAGCAAGGCACCACGCCGTAGGAGGGTGTGAAGAGTGTCTGCTTGAGCTCCCGCACGCGGCTCAACGTGGCCCGGCACTCACTGCTCAGCTGGCTGGCGTCGAAGCCAGGGCTCACGTCGATGGCCAGCGAGCGCAACTGCTGCAGGGCTGAGAGCACCTTGGAGAGGCGCAGGGAGGTCAGGTGGCAGCCAGAGAGGTTCATCTTCACCAGCCCACGGCAGCGGGCCACATGCTCGATGGTGGAACCAGATAGCCAATAGCAGCCAGCCATGCTCAGTTGCTGGATCTCCCGGCCAATCACCTTCACCAGCTGCTTCACCTTGTCCTCGCTTGCCTGCAGGACAGGGACGGATGGGAGAGGAAAGGTAGAGGCTAAAGCTCTGTGGTCCCACAGGGGCGTGAAAGACAGGTGTCAAGAGACCCTGTAAGTGGCAATGCAAAGTGGCACAACCACAGGAGAAAGGGTGCTGGAAGCCGAACAAGATGGGTGAGCACTTGTGCTCCTAGGATCCACGCTGTCTCCTGAAGACAGGGACTCCAGCAGAGGTAGGAGCACCACTGCGCTGACCGCAAGAGCCAAAAGAGGAGAACTACCCCAGCGTCCTTCAACAGGGGAGTGTGACCACAGACAGTGGCTGCTCCTCACCACGGAATACTATTTGGCCACAGCGAGGAACAATGTAAATTGAGCGGGGCAATACAGCACTCTGAGAAGCTGAGGCTGGAGGGTCGTAAATTCTAGCCCAACCTGGGCAACTTAGAACCTGTCTCAAAATTTTAAAAAACAAAACTATAAAGGGCCGGGGATTTAGCTCAGTGGCCTAAGTGCCTTCCTGGTAAGTGAAAGGTCCCAAGTTTAATCCCTGGTACCAAAATAAATAAATAAATAAATGTAAAAGGCTGGGCTCTGTAGCTTAGCAGGTTGCTCCGCATCCGATCTCTAGTACCACACAGCATGGCACCATCAAATTGTAGGTCGGACTTCACAAAGAATGTCATCTGTCCTGGAACCCAGCAAGTGCTCTTAGGTCTCCATCTATCCCTGTGCCCAAAGCACAGATCCCTCCCAACACCAGGTCAACGCATTCTTACGCTCTGTTCCTGGCCAGCATGGACCCACACCCCTGCCACCCTGCCTGTTGCTCAGTGCAGCCTGGGCCCCTCCTGGCGCCACCGTCCCTGGCACCCACTGGGCCCTCCGCACCTGATAGTCCTTCTGCAGCAGCACGGTGTGCACCAGACTCTTGTCCAGGCTCAGGGCTGCAAGCTTCCGGCACACGCGCCGCACGTTCACTACCAGGTCCGTGCTGGGCACGTGGCTCAGGATGTGCAGCAGGATCTCGTCGGAGAAGCCCAGCAGGTGGACGCTGCCCCCCGTCTCAGCTGTGGCGTCTGGGGCCATGGTGTCCGGGGCCTCCACATCAGCGCTGGTCATGTCCTGAAAAGAAAAGGAGCTCAAGTTGCCATGGAATCCCCGAGAGCAGCCAACTCTAGCACCTATGGGAAGCAGGCTCTCTTACCAATCTTTTTTAGCAGTTGTACTGGGGTTTGAACTCAGGCCCTTCACACTTTTCATTTTATTTTGTGGAGGGTCTTGACCATCTGGACCTCAAGATGGGTGGGGAGAGGGCCAGGGAGCCTCAGCACATCGAATGCTCAGAGCGTGACACAAGAGCCCTCGTAGGCACTGGAGTGGAGAGGACCCGACCTTACAGGAGCAAGTGGCACCTGCTCATGAATAATGTCTTTTCCTGCTGTTTTTGTGTGCTTCATTCTTTGTGGTACGAGGCTTGGACCCAGGGCTCTGACAATGAGCTCCATCTCCAGCCCTCTGCCCTGTATTTTTTTTTTTTTTTTTTGTCTTTTTCGTTTTTATCGGTACCAGGAATCGAACTCACGACTGCCTGCTTGCAAGGCAGGCGCTTATGCCGCTGAGCTAAATCCCCAGCCCCCTGCCCTTTATTTTTAACCGAGTTTTTTGTTTGTTTGTTTTTTGAGACAGGGTCACCCTATGCAGCCCAGGCTGGCCTTGAACTCATGGCAATCTTCCTGCTTCAGCCTCCCAAGTGTTGGGTTTACAGGCGTGCGCTACCACCCTTGGCTCCAGCCCCTTTATTTTTTTGAAACAGGATCTCACTAAGTTGCTCATGCTGGGTAATCTTCCTGTCTCATCCTCCCAGAGTACTAGGATTACTGGCATTCACCACCACACACAGCTATAAATGATGTCTTTATTTTTCTAAATTATGAGGTGTCTTGTTATAATCCCGCACTGGTCCTGAACTCTAGGCTCATGCAATCCTTCTGGCTCAGCCACAGGCACCATGCCCAGAAGGACTAATAATATTTTAAAATCTTATAAGCACTAAGATTTATAATTTTATAGAAACAGTACAAGCCAGGCATAGTGGCACACTCCTGTAATCTTAGCACTTAGGAGACTGAGGCAGGTGGATTGTTGCAAGTTCAGGAACAGCCTGGGCTCCAAAGTGAGCCCAAGGCCAGCCTGAACTGCACAGTGAGACCTTGTCTCAAGAAGACAAAAAAAAAAAAAAAAAAAAAAAAACCAGAAAAAATAGTACAGATTCCCTCCATTTTTCATTGTCTTGGTTCTTCTGGAAGACATCTGCACCTTTCCCTCGGCTTTGCTGTATGCAGCTGGCTAAGTATGGAGAGTCCCTCCCTGGTCCAAACACTCAGGGTCTTTGGTGCATATGTGAACACCATGGAGATGGAGACTCCATGCAGCAAAGCCACATCAAGGACAAAGGAATTAGCAAGAGACAGCAAGGGGACAGGAGGCAGGAGACCCTCACCTTCCAGAACGACATGCAGGGGGCTCTCTCCCAAATGACATTCCCTGAGAGAATGCCCACAGTCCCTCCCACTGCCTTTTCCAGAGACCATGCCTACAAAATGCTTGTCACCAGCCTGCTCCTGCTCCTGCTCCACTCAGCTTCCTGTGTGTGGATACATGAATGGAAGCTTGAGAGCCCTCCGCTGCCATGGCAACCATGCAGCTGCAAAGGCACAGGATGCACTGGCTCAGGCCTCCTGCACACCCCTTGCTCCTGCCCAGCCCTTGTCTGCTCCAGAGCCTCACAGAATGCTTCTCACCTGTTCTGGGGACAAAGCAGCGTCCTCCATCCTCCTAAGGGGGAAGCCACGATGGACGCCGAGTGACACTGCCAGGTCAGGAAGGGTATTCACCACTGTCAGAAGTTCGAGGACTTGTCTCGACAGCACCGTCTCTTCCACCTTCCCTCCTTTGGGGAGAAGTGTCAGGCAGACATCACTCCCTCCTTCCCAACCCCATCCTCTTACCTCCACAACATGGGGACAGAGGTGGCCCAGTGACCCTGCCCACAGCAGTGCCAAGTGGTATTCTGACCCCTGTGTTTCCACTTGCAGGTGACCTTCCCTTAGCACAGCACATCCTGCAGTCACTAAGGGACTGCTTCAAAACCAGAGTCCCTGCTGGGGATAGCGCAGTGGCACAGCGCTTGCCTGTGCATGTGTAAGGCCTAGGGTCTGATCCCAGCATTGCATAAACATGGGTACACACACACACACACACATTCTAGACCAGGACCCTGAGCAGGGACCATCTCCACCAGAACCAGCAGTAACCTCTATCATGCAAATGGGGCTCCCAGGAGGCCAGGGGTCCAAAAGGGAGGGCTCCAGGAGCTCCTCTCCTAGCCCCTAATTTTTGTAGAATTCTCAGAGAAAGCCACCTTGCAGCTCACATGGGCAAGAGTGAGCATGGGGGCCTCTCAGAAGTGCTGAGCAGTGGCACCATGGCAGAGTGCTTGCCCAGCCCTGCCAGGCCCAGGTCCGTCCCCAGCGCCAGTGCACTGTGATTTCCACAAGGGCTGCACACTGTGATACTCAATGCTGCTCGCTCTCTGTCTCTGTGTGCCACTGACTAAACCTAGAGCCTCTGCACTGAGCTACATCTCTATCTCTTTATTTTTTATTTTGAGACAGGGTCTTACTAAGTCACTATATTGCCCAGGTTATACCCAAATTTGTGATCTTCCCAAATTTGTGCCTCCCAGCGCTGAGATTACAGCTGTGCACCACCACACTAGATTATTTTTCCCCCAGTGCTGGAAATCAAATCCAGGGCCTTGTCTGGTAGGCAAGCACTCTGCCACTCAGCCACATTCCTAGCCCCTGAATTTTTTTTTTTTAAATCACCTCCAAATCACAGGGATTCAGAATACAGGCAAGCACACCAGGAAGCAATCCAACTCCTTCCTCATAGCCCAGAATCCGCATGACCCACGAGGTCATCGCTCCTATTCTCTGTGCCCCAAATGAAAGCGAGGCAATCTCTGGGCCCCAGACTTGGCACCCTAACAGTGCTGGGGCTGGCAGGCACCGTGCAGGGTGGCCTAGTTGATTCGAGGAGACACCAGGACTGAGAAGTCCAGTCTTATTTATTTACTTATTTATTTTGGTGTTTTGAGATAAGGTCTTACTATGCAGTTTAGGCTGGTCCTGAATTTGTAGCAATCCTCCTGCCTCAGCCTCCTGAGTGCTGGGATTACAGGCATGCACCACTATGCCTGGCTGTGGCCAGTCTATAGCAGCTGCCGACTTCCCTGAACAGGAGTTTATGTAAGCACCAGCATCTCACACCCAGGACGGGTGACAGGAGAGGGCACACCAGCCTGTGCACTCCTGTGCCCCAACTTCTGGGAGGCAGCCCCAGATCCACCATACCCATGTCAACCTGGATAATATGTTCTTAGCCGCTGGGGAAACTGAAGCGGACACACCCCCATCTGAAAATTTAGGTAATAGTTCTGGGAAGATGGCAAGCCATGCTTCTACAAGGCTGACCCTGCAGGCACAAAACTCCCTCGGCCAACCTGGAAAAGCACCTTTTGGACAGGTCCTACCAGCACAAATTCCAGGAGTCTCCTGCAATCTCCCCCCCAGGGGTAAGATGTCACCCTAGAATTAGGCCTTGGTGAACCATCCAGCTGGAACTGGGTATGGACAAGTTAAAAAAATGGTTTAGAGTTTAGATATTAGCCAGGTAGGGTGGTACATCACTATAATCCCAGCACCCTGGGAAGCTGAGGCAGGAGGATCACAAGTCCGTGCCCAGTCCCGGCAATTTAGTAATTCGGTGAGACCCTGTCTCAAAATAAAAAGGGGGGAGTACATTCCAATAGTCTTGTTGGGAGGCTAAGGCAGAAGGAATCCTGTGGTGAGTTCAAGTGCAGCCTGAACTACACAGCAAGACCCAATATCAAAAAGCCAAATGCAAGTAAGTGAAACTAGGGCTGTGAGTGGAATGCACGCAGTACAAAAGATAAGGCATAAAGAAAGTTCACATGTTCACTAAGCTCTGGGCTTTATGTACTTCTCAGATAGAACTTTATTTCCCTGAAAATAAGACCTAACTGCTAAACCTTAGCATGATTTTTCACAATGCTCATAGCCCTACCTGGAAAATAAACCCAGTTAAGACATCACCCAGACAGGCGCATTTACATCCACGCATTGCAACACAGGGTGGCCAGATTGAATTATAAAATAATAATATTAATAATATATGAAGCCTGGGTGGTGGTACACGCCTGTAATAGTGGCATTTGGGAGGCTGACACAGGAGGATTGTTGCAAGTTCAAAACCAGTCTGGGCGACAAAGTCAGCTCAGTCAGCCTGAACTACATTGTAAGACCTGTCTCAAACACACACACACGTACTATATATAGAATATAAATATTACTGACAATAATACTTAAAATAAATGAGAATATAGACTATAATTACGTATTTGTCAATACCCATGTGGGCATCTCTGAACCAGAAATAAATGGCTATGTAAACAGACAAATGTCAGACTTATTGTCAAATGACTAAATAACCAATTGGAGTACAGACACAACTCACAAATAATGTGTACACCCGATAACAAATGGACGTGGTTATGTCTAATACAAATCTCCAGAATTCAATGTGTCACGTGTTGCAACCTGCATAATGCACATTCTCTGAATTTTGTTGCCAGCAATTATTTGTTGTTTTTGTACAGATTACCATTTTTTGGATTGGTTTTTGCTTATTTTGAGATAGGGTCTCACTACTTGGCCCAGGCTGGCTTAGAGTTCGAGGTGCTCCTCCTGCCTGGCCTCCCCGGTGCTAGAGTTATAGGTGTTTGTCACCACACCCAAGCTGGCCCATTGATCTTAACCCTCATTATTCTTGTTGCCATTCCTGTCTTAAGAGTCCTCAATTAACATCTGATTTAATGGAAACTGAGAAGCCCAGCCTCCAAGGGGTGGAGAACAATTCACTGGATAAAATCAACGGCCAACAGGCGTTGCCCACACACCAGGAGCAGGCTCAGAGTAAAGGAGAGCTCTACTGCTGGATGTGAGAGATGGAGGCCAATCTTCTAGAGAAACAGAGTCAAAATGAGGCTGGAGTCCAGGATCTAGGGTGCTGTCCCAGAAGGGTGCTGACATGACTGTACTCCAACAAATGTAGATTTTTGTACATGAATAGACGTAGAGTGTTGAACACGAAAAAAAATGAGACATCCAAGGCTGGGGATTTAGCTCAGTGGCATAAGCGCCTGCCTTGCAAGCAGGCGCTCGTGAGTTCGATCCCTGGTACCGATAAAAAAAAAAAAAAAAAAGTGACATCCCTGAAAATAAGCCCTACTGTACTTTTTGAAACAAAAAATATAAAACCTGATCCTATTTGGGGGAAATATGGTACAATATTTTATAATTTTTTAAAAGTTAAGTAAAATTAGTAAATGAAATCTCAGTACCTGCCTCAAAGACAGCCCTGCAAAAGGACCCTGAACTGCTTGCTACTCAGACACCCAAAGAAATCACAAGACTTGCCTGGCATGGTGGGATACTCCTGTAGCCCCAGCTGCCGAGGCTGAGGCAAGAGGATCACAAAGTCCACACCTGCTTGAACTATTTAGTGAATCAGTCTCAAGACAATTTAAGAGTCTAGGAGTGCATCTCAGGGCTACGGCACTTGCCCGCCATGCAAGAAGCCCTAGTTCCATACCCAGCACCATGAAAGAAAGGGAGGAAGGAAGGAAGGGCCAGAAGGAGGGAGGGAGGGATAAAGGAAGAAAGGAAGGACAGATGGGTAAATGAACAGGATTCCAATGTGGGGGTGAAGTGTCTGGGATGTGCTCTGAGTAATCATGCAGATGGAGGGGACACATGAATAAGCTGGGGCATGCTTTGACAGCTGTTACGACTTGGCAACGGCGGCACACAGGTCCCTTTTGCCACCCTTTCACAAATGTGTGAAATTGAACAGCGTAAGAAATGCCAAGGCGGGCGTGGTGGCACATGCACATAGTCCCAGCCCTCAGGAAGCTGAGGCCTTGTCTCAAGAAAATAAAAAAGTTGGGGCTGGGGATTTAGCATAGTGGCATAAGCGCCTGCTTGGCAAGTGCAAGGTCATGAGTTCGATCTTCCGTACCAAAAATACAAAAATAAAATTAAAAGCTGAAATCATAAGTGCGATCTAAGAGATGCACAATTTGAGTTCTCTCTCTCTGCTCTGGTCTTCATGTATCCAGTAGCATTTTCTGGGCTGTCCTCCTGTACACTGTGGACCCTATCACAGCTTCTGCACAGGGAAACTGCAGCTCCCTGGAGCAGCAGCCCAAAAGCTCCTTCCTCAGGGAGCCCCTCCAGGCATCCCCAGGACACAACGCGCTTCTCTTCCTGCTCCTCCTCTACTATCGCGGCACCCATCCAGCCCCAGACTCAACTGCAAAGGCTGCTACCAGGGATTTGTTGCGGTTCCTGTTTCAAGACAAAGATCTTGTTATGTTCCCCAGGTTGGCCTCAAACTCCTGGACTCAAGATATCCTCCTGCCTCAGCCTCCCACAGTGCCCATGGATTCACCTTTGACAATGTAGTTGGAATACGTCTGGCCCAGAACTATGATGTATCAAACCTGGCAAAAAAACAAAAAACCAAAGAAACTACCTAGGTATAGTAATATACAGTTATAATCTTATAATCCTAATACTCTGAGAGACTGAGGCAGGAAGATCCCAAGTTTGAACCCAATGGGCAACTTAGAGAAATCTTGCCTCAGGAAAAATTAAAAGTTTTTTAAAGGGCTGTGCATGTAACTCAATATGAGGGCCTTGGGGTTTTCTTTGTTTTTTTTTTTTTTTTTTATTTGTTTTTTCTGTTATTTTTTTTCTGGGGGTGAGAGAGATGTACTGGGAATTGAACTTAGGAGCTCATGCTTATGAAGCAGGCACTTTGCCACTGAGCTGTATCCCAGTCCTGGCCCTGGTTTTAATGGGGCAGAAGGAAGGGCTCAAAAAACTGACAAAGACTTGATGCTAGAAAAACCCAGCAGTCCCTCTGGATACACTGGTTTGACATCCCATGAGGGCCCTTTATCTTCTGAGCCCAAAGCTTTGGTTTCTGTCTCCCGCACCTGCAGTTTTGTTCTTCTCTAGACCCTGTGTTGCCTCAGATCAAAAATAAGGCCACAATTAATAACTAGGCATTAGGATTTCCAACACCTCACCTCTTGCTGTATCACCCTTCTGCTGGGAAGGGCCTCAAACTGGGATTATGATATGAGCTTAGTAAACAGGATCTTCAATTAGTAGTCTCTCTCCCTTGTTCTTTAGGTTTCTATTACCTTTTGTGAAAGAAAAAATGAGCCATGTATGGGTGGCTCATGCCTGCAGTCTGAGCTATGTGGACTGAAACCAGGAGGATCACTTGAGCACACATCACTTGAGCACACAACTTCCAAGAGCAGCCTGGGTAATGTGGTGAGACCCCCATCTCAAAAACTACCAGGTGTGATGCTAATATGCTTATAAACTCAGGTACTTGGGATTAAAACTTCAATCCCAGCCCTGGAAATTTAGCAATACCTTCTCTCAAAATAAAAACAGAAAAGGGGTAGAGATGAGCTCAGTACTGTGGCAGACTGAGGGAGATTCCATTCTGGAATCAAAGAGTGGGGATCATTGCACAATCCTGAAGATGGCTTAGTGGCAAACACCTGTTATCCCGATACTGAGGGAGGCTGAGACAGGAGGACTGCAAATATGAGAACCACCTAGCTACTCAGCAAGACCCCACTCAAAACTTAAAAATAACAAGAGGATGTATCTCAAAGGTAGAGTGCAATCCTTACCACTGGAAAAAAAAATAAAAAGGTCTGGGATGTAGTTCAGTGAGAAAGCCTTGGGCTCAATAACACTCCCCTCCAAAAAAATTCCATGGAATTACACACTTTAAAAAATGTGAGTTTTGGGGGCTGGGGATTTAGCTCAGCGGCATAAGCGCCTGCCTTGCAAGCAGGCAGTCATGAGTTCGATCCCTGGTACCAATAAAAAGGAAAAAGACAAAAAAAAAGTGAGTTTTGGGCCAGGGATTTAGCTCAGTGGCCTAAGTGCCTGCCTGGCAAGTGCAAGGTTGTGAGTTCAATCCCTGGTTAAAAAAAAAAAAAAAAAAATGTGAGTTTTGTGGTATGTGAATTAAATTTCAATTGAAAAAATATGGCAAGGGAGGGGAAGACAGGGTTTCACTAGGTAACTCAAACTGGCCTTCAATTTGCTATGTAGCCCAGGTTGGTTTCAACCTCACAGCAATTCTCCTACCTCAGCCCCCAAGTTCCGGGATTATAAGCATGCAGCATCATGCCCAGTGCTCAATAAATAAATTTTAAAATCTGACCATCGTAAAATAAGATCTCCCTTCTTTTTAAAGACATTTAAGATGCAACAAGAGGGAGGCCTGGCTGGTAGAACAGAGGAGCCTCTGAGACAGCACTTCCTAAGCCCAAAGTACTGGACCCTCCAGCACACACACACACACACACACACACACCCTACTGCAATCTGGCAACACAGCCTGGCTACCCCAGATCTTTTCTTCAGGGAGCTGGAGGATTCTAGTCCTTCGATCCCACCATAAGCCAACAGCTGGGCCATTGCACGCTTCTGTGTCAAGGAATCACGAGGGCCAATTCTGGACCAAATTCAAAACTTGCTTCAAATGATGAGGAGCCATCTTTCTTTTTTTTTGGTCTTTTTCGTTTTTTATCGGTACCGGGGATCGAACTCAGGACTGCCTGCTTGCAAGGCAGGCGCTTATGCCGCTGAGCTAAATCTCCAGCCCCAAGGAGCCATTTTTCACATACCCAAGCCCCATCAATTCAGGAAAACCTAGAATGTCTCAGGGTTTGAACCCAAGCAAGCTCCTACGACTCAGGCATTCACCCACTCCTGAGTACTGCAAGACAATGGCAGGGAATACTGCTCAGTGGGCACAGCGCCTGCCTGGCAAAACACAAGGTCCTGAGTTCGATTTCCAATACCACAAAAAAAAAAAAAAAAAAAAAAAAAAAAGACGGATATAAACCCAGGTATACATATAGGTAGGAGAGAAGCAATAGTAAGAAGCCATTAGTCAAGAGTAAAGATCCCCACTACGTCCTTGATAGCAAGAGAAAAACTCATGCACCCTCTAACGGAACGAGGTGGGCCACTTCATAGTCCCCCAATCTGTGCACCGTTTGGAGGACTTGCAAGGTAATCTCAAATGCCCCGGTAAAATGGCTTTTCCTTCACCCCCTCCACCAAGTCACACAATAAGCAAGCTCCAGAAGGAAAGGGACCGGACTAAAACTGAGCACTCGGAGATATTAAAAAAAAAAAAAAAAAAAAAAAAAAAGGTGAGGAGTAGGCACGGAGGGACAGTGTACCAGAGCCCAGGTACAGGGACACGGGAAGAGACCCCTGGGAGGCCCAGAGCAACCTGAAACTCAGAGGGCGGAGGGGAGGAGCCACTCTGGTGTGATCAGGAACGTGGAGCTGGGAACAGGATGCAAGCCAGGGCGAGAGCATGGGAGCAGGACCGGATGGGGCCAGGTTGGGCCCAGGAGCACAACCAAGGTCCAGGGGAAAGGTCCAGGAGGGAGGGGTCAGGGTCGGAATGGAAAGGACCGAGGGGGGCCCAGGCCGCCGAGGCAGCAGCAGAGCGCGGAGAGGCGCAAGCCGTACCTCTCCGGAGCTGGCCATGTCACAGGCGGGCTGTGCCACGGCCTCCGGAGCCGCAGCCCCGGGGCCTCTAGCCAGCCCCACCAGGGATGCTCGAAGCCGGCGCGTCGGCGGCTGAATAGAGACCCCAGCAAGGGGCGGGGCTGCCCATCACTTCCGGC